AAAAAGGCTGCCTGAGAATGTCATCAGGCCGGGGGCGGCGGGAGGGGGGGAGGAGGCAACTGCATAGGGAGCCAACGGGGCCCCTCGGGCCTGATCAGATGTGCGCACAGTGAACCCCAGTCACCCGTCCACCCTTCAGGTGAGGGCTGAACCCTGCTCCATTTCAGCCATGGCGAACTCGGCCCCGGCTGACTGCAGACGGGACTCTTCAGAGGTTAACTTTCCCTTCCTTCCAGTTGTGCTGAGTTCTTTCTGCTCCTCCTCTAGCCAGATGGGCTCAAAAGACAGGGGCCAAGGAGGCTGCTCTGGGACCCACGGCCCCCAACAGGGCCCCTCAGTGACCTGCCACCACCAGCACAAATGTCACTGCAGCGTTCAAGGTGACCTGCAGCCCAAGTCCCGTCTCTCTCCTCACTTTTTTCTTGTAAACCAAGAATTTCACAAACACGCCAGAACCAAAAACTTGTAAATGGGCCAGTTCCCTAGAGAAGGAACTGAAAATGACAAATGGTATTATATTTTGGCATGGATTCGGAGTTTGCAAATATAGAGATTTGTGTACGCCAAAAATACAGGAAACGGGGAAGCTACTTACATATGGTATATGTCTCTCTCTCTCTCTCTCTCTCTCTCTCACACACACACACACAACTTGTTTTTAAATTAATTTGAAAGGCTCTTTAGCTCTGAGCTATCACTACATCCAGTTACATCGGACTCGCCACAGCCTGCAAGTCTGGCACTGGTATCTTTTGACAGCAATTCTGTTCCTGGGATTTGTTTGAAAGCGTTTAGGTTTTCACGGATCACTGGAGGTTCTTCATTCTTCCCCCTTCTGTGTTATGTACGTATAAGCCGTCTCTCTGGGCATAAACTGTCCACTGCTAAAAATCAATTTTGATTTTATCAGTATTTATCGTGGCTGGTGCCAGTAGTTTAGGAAGACTTAACGAGGAAAAACATGCAAACCAGAAGAGAAAAAATTAAAGCCGGGTCCTCATAACTTCAAACAATACAGCCTATTCTCTTTAAGAGGTACTTACTGTTCAACACCCAAGGCAAGAAAAACAAAGGGAAAAATGAACACATGGGACTACATCAAACTAAAAAGCTTCTGCACAGCAAAAGAAACAACCATCAAAACAAAAAGGGATCCCACTAGATGGGAGACCATAATCGCCAATGATGCATCAGATAAGGGGTTAATTTCCAAAATATATAGAGTGCTCATACAACTCAACAAAAAGAAGACAAAGAGCCCAATTAAAAAATGGGCAGAACCTAAATAGACACCTCTCCAAACAGGACATACAAATGGCCAAGACACTTATGAAGAAATGCTCAACATCACTAATCATCAGAGAGATGCAAATTAAAACAACTATGAGGCATCACCTCACACCTGTCAGAATGGCCGCCATTAACAACAAGTGTTGGCGAGGGTGTGGAGAAAAGGGGACTCTAGTGCACTGCTGGTGGGAATGCAGACTGGTGCAGCCACTGTGGAAAACAATATGGTGTTACCTCAAAAAGTTAAAAATTGAACTGCCATTTGACCCAGTGATCCCACTTCTAGGAATATACCCCAAGAAGCCTGGAACACCAATCAGAAAGAATATATGTACCCCCATGTTCATAGCAGCACTATTTACAATAGCTAAGATCTGGAAACAGCCCAAGTGTCCATCAGTAGATAAGTGGATTAAAAGGCTGTGGTACATATACACAATGGAGTACTATGCAGCTGTAAGAAAGCAAGATCTTTTATCCTTTGAGACGACATGGAGGGACCTGGAGAGTATTATGCTAAGTGAAACAAGCCAAGCAGAGAAAGACAAATATCACATGATCTCACTTATTTGTGGAATATAATGAACTAAACAAACTGCTGAACAAAACTGACCCAGAGGCACAGACTGACAAGCCTCAGAGGAGGGGGGATTTGTGGGGGAAGAGATACACCACAGAACTTGCATGCATGTATGCATGACCAATGGACATAGACAACAAAGCTGGGGATAGGGTGGGAGGAGTAGGGGAGAAGGGTGTCAATGGGGCAAAAATGAGAAACATCTGTAACAAAAGTAAATTAACAAATAAAGAATTAAAGAGGTATTGTTGTATCCTGCCGAGGGAACTTAAATTATCCATTTAAAACTTCAGTCAATAAAAATGCAGGTGACTGTGCCATTGCTTCCATCTCAGTTCTTGCGAGCGGCGGGCGGGCGTTTCTAGAACAGGGCGCGGTGCGCAGCCGCGCGGCCAGAGCGGTAGCCAACCCGCCTCCAGCGCCCAGCACCCCGACCAGCATCAGCCTCATTCTGTTTGTTCCGATGACCCACCTCCCCCGACGGAACAGACCACGTGCTGGGACCCAACGCGCCTCGGCCGCGCTCTCGTTTTCTCCTCTTTCTAGAAAAGACCCCGACCATGAGCGCTCCGGGGCCAAACCGCTCATCCGGCTCTTAAAGCGGTGAGGCTGGCAGAGCTGGCTCCTCACGCAGGCTTTCTGGCGACACCCGACACCCGAGAGGACAGCCCCTCCCGCTGCTGCCGCCCTGGGAGTTCCTCCTCAGCCAGGAAGCCCACAGGCTGCCTCGTCACCGAGCCGACAGGAGATGGAGAGATGCCAGAGTGTTCGGTCAGGAGAGGCTGGACCTCACACCTTGATGTTTGGCTGTGGGATGCCCCCGTCGGAGAAGAGGACGCCTGTCCCTCCGCGGCCACAGGGCGCGAAGCGGAGGCTCCCAGGCTCTCCCGAAGAGCTCAGCCCCTGGCACCCTGGCCGCTTAGGCTCAGCGGTCAGAGGGTCGCCCGTGGACCGGAGAGGCGCGGGTTCCGTTCCCCCTGGGGGCACATGCCTCAGCTGCAGTCTGTTTCCGGCCCCGGTTGGGGTTGTGTGGGTGGCAGCCCCTCGATGTGTCTCTCACATCGATGTTTCTCTCTCTCTCTCTTCCTCCCTCCCGCTCTATCTGAAGATAAATGCAGACATGTCCTCGGGTGAGTATTAAAAAAAAAAAACTCAGTCACTCGAGGGAGGCGCCGGTGGACCCCAGCCTCACAGGCTGAATCCTACCAGCTGTTTCTGTGAATAAAGCTTTATCAGAACACACAACCACGTCCTCCAAGTAAGTCTGCAGATCCTGATCCAGAGAAACGGCCTCCTGATCCCTCCACTTCCTTCCAAGGCCACAAGGCACTGCAGCTACTTACGGAACCTCGGCCGCAGTCCCTGCGCTGCGACACGCCATCCACTTGCAGACATGTGGGCCTTTCGCTCCACAGGGAGAAGCCCCCGGAGAGCCCCGCACACCTGGGCAGCCTCCCACACCGGCACGCGCGGTGCGATCTGAGCGGCAGGTGTGGGCACGGCGGCAAGTCCTCAGGACGCAGAGTGGACTTCTCGTGAAGACAGGAAGTCACCCGCGGACCAGCCGAAGAGCCACCTCCCGCTCTCCAGATCCTGAGCCAGACCTCAGGCCATGCCGCCCCAGCCAGGCTCGGGGCGGAGGGGACACAGGGTGCATGACTCCTAAGAACTATCTCCCTGGTGGTAAACGTGTCTTCTAAAACCCGGCTGCAGGGTGGGGGGGTGGGAAGAGATAAACCACAGAACTTATATGCATGTATGCATGACCAATGGACATGGACAACTAAGCCGGGGACAGGGGGGAGGGGGGGTGGGGTGGGGGGGTGCCAATGGGGTAAAAGGTAAAATATCTGTAACAAAAAAATAAATAAATAAATAAAATTAAAAAAAAAAAAAAAAAAAAAAAATTTTAAGATAAGAAAGATAATCCATTGAATTATTTTATAGATTTAACCACCCATAATAAACTGCTATAAATAAAAATAAAAAAAATAAAAATAAAAATAAAACCCGGCTGCACACCAGCGCCATGCTCAGCTCCTCTCCCGGGTCCCTCCTGCACGGCTCCGCGGCCCAGAGGAAGGCTTCTTTCCCCTGAGGGCAACGCGATGGACGGGCAGGGGAGCGGCTGCTGAGATGTTCAGCAATTTGATCTTTATACTCTCAGTGAAGTCAACCCCACTAAAACATATATATATATATTTAAATAATTAAACCTATATATTGTCTCATGGAAAAAGCACATTTAAAATTTATTTTTCTCTTTATTGATTTTAGAGAGAGGAAGGGAGAGGGAGAGAAAGAGAGAGAAACATTGACGAGAGAAAACATCAACTGGCCGCCTCCTGCACGCCCCCCACTGGAGATTTGGCCCACAACCTGGGCATGTGCCCTGATGAGGAATCAAACTGGCGACCTCTTGGTGCAGGGGTTGACGCTCAACCACTGAGCCACACTGGCCAGGTGATAGGGTGCATTTAAAAATCAACCTTCCAATGACAAAATGATGATGATGATGATAAGAATAACAATACCCCCATACAGCAAATGTGACAAAATGACAAAAGAACTCTGAATTTTGGGGCTTTATTTTACTTTTATCTTTTTAAGATGCTACACAGTCAAACAGAATCGAATTGGTCTTTCACAGCATAAACGGCTGCAGCCGAGCGCGGTCACTCCGCACCAGGGGGACTGTCTGCGGAGCCCCAGGTGCCCCGCCCCCGCCCCGCCCCGGCTCCCTCTCCTAGAGGCCGCAGTCTGCTCTGACTCACTTGCCCTGCCCCCAGGCTGGGACGTGTGCGGGAAGTGTGCCTGTCAGCTGAGGGGTACGCAGTGAAGGACACAGGATCGGCCACTCTCCTCCAGTGAAAGGTACGACTGAGTTGACTGTTGCTACTAAAATCTCCCTCCCTATGATAGTTGTTAATTATTTACACAGAAAATACTTCCTGGCTGCTGTCTCCAACACTCAAATGAACTACACGTCCATATACTCGCATGCAGAATCTAGAACCTCCAGACAGGAGCCCACAGCCTTCCAGCCACGATGCCAGCTTCAGCCACGGCATTAGGTAGCACAGGTGATGTTTAGGCCACAGCATTAATTATAATCTTGTGACAATAAGAAAACATGAGATGAAATACATTAAATAAGTTAAATATGCATTAAACATCTCCGAATAACAGTTCAATCTCATGACATGAACCAACAATAATTTAGCTTGGTCCCTTTAAGAGAACAAAGCACTGACTTTTCCTTCCCGAGCGCTGGGCCCCTCGGTGCCCAGACCCACCCATGCCCAGCGCGCTTGTCCATGCCGCCACAGCTCATTCTTCTCAGCGGCTGATCTGCCCTCAGTCCCAGGGAACTGACGGCCGGAGCAGCACAGGGCAAGCAGCCCGGCGGGCACGCCTGCTGGAGGGACGGCACTCCCCACCACACTGGGCTCCGCTCCGAGGGCCAGCGCCCAGTGAGGAAGAGTGTCCTGATTTCAGAGAGGGAGCCAGCAGCATGGACCAAGGCTAGAGATGTTTAAAATGACATTTACAACATGCCATTACCATCTGATCAGTTTCCCTTGTCATTAACACAGATCATTCTTTTTCCCAATCACTCACTATACATTTTTATCTTTCTAAAAGATCGTTACATTATGTTACATTTGTGTGTGCACGCGCACGCGCAGGGAGGGGTAATTTAAAGGCAAGCCCTGTGAGATGTCATCATACAGTAATTTCTTCTTATACATGGTTATGATAAATCTGGATGCCATGATCTGGCAGACCCTCCACCCACCCCCCTCCGCTCGCGGCCTCTACAAGGCGATCTTCCCTATGATGACCCCGACGATGAAGAACAGGACGACCAGCGCAAGCAGCCGGGTGCTGAGGCCCTCCTCCCTCCCAGCTGTGGCTGCTGCAGGAGCCGGGCTGCTGCTCTGCACCGTCTTCCTCATCCGAAGGCCGTCTTCCTCCTAGGGGAGCAAGCGCACAGCTCAGACAACCCGCGCCCGGAGGCGGAGCTGGCCGCAGTGCAGCAGGTGGGCTTCCACCCCGACTCAGCCCGTGCTGGGTCCAACCTCTCCATGTTGAAGCCTCCCAGGCACTGACTGAAGGCCACTGAAAATGTTAGGAGACCCCTTTCTCCCATCCGTGCCACACGCTACTGCCAGTTACCTTTCTGCATCAAGATCCAAGCAGGGCACTCCGTGGCTCCCCATGGTTTATAGAAAAAAGCACATATGGGGGTCCAGCCTGGACACACCCACTTTCTTGGCCATGTCTCCCAGCTGCTCCTCTTCACCTATATCCACCCCAACCCCTGCCCTTCCTTCCCTCACTGAACAGGCGTCTCCCATCAGTCATCGCCTTTTGAAATGACAGGCACCTCTCAAGGCAGGAACAGGAAAAGCACAAGAAACTCCACAGTGGGGACCTGGAAGCTTCCCAGTGCAGCGTGGTGTCCACAGTGGGTGTGTGATGAGTCACACGGGGCTGCTGGCGTTCACTGTGTCAACAGCACGGTATTTGGAACACTGGAATGTGACTGAACTTGACCCACACATCTCGAAGATTTTCTACTCAGTGCCTGGATTTCCCCCGAAGGGGCAGCACTGCCTTTCCTACATGTAAGGTGCCTGGCACAGTCCTTACCCACTACCCAGGGGCAAGGGACAGGCCCCACTTCCCACACAGGACAGCCACCGAGGCCTTCCATCTGCACGGCCGCGCCCAGCAGCTGGGACTCTGCTGGTGCCCCGTTCACTCCTCCTGGGACCCACACCCCCAGCCACACTGTCCTTCCTCTTTTCCTTCTGTCCCTTCACACAAGCAGCAGCCAGCCCACCGAGCCGACTCTCCACGCACTTGTGGAGCCGCTTGTCACCTTGGCTGTCAGGCTAGGTCACTGCTCGTGTCTAGGTCTCCCTGCTACCCCTGTTCACAGGGCTCGAGGGCAGGGCTGCTCCCATTGGGAGCCAGTGCTGGGTGCACGGCAGGGCCTCAGGATATTTGTTGGCCAAATAAAAGAATGAAAAACACAAAACAAGAAATCAGTGTCTGGCAGAATAAAGAATCCTCTAATGTCGAGATGGGCCTGATAATATTTTAGCGAGACTCTGCTCATGGGACATGGCCAATATCGTGCAGAGTGATAAATGACCACTGTTACTCGATTAACTCCAAAAAAAATGGGCACAGCAAAATACAGCGTTTATTTTATTGGGTTTATAGAGAAGCTATTTCTACCTATTTATCACTTTAAACAGCACAGAGCTCTGTTCCTGAAGAGAAATACACTCAAGAAGAAGCTTCCGCACAGCTTAGACTTCTGGCCAGGACAGCGCAGCCCCTCCCTGGTGGCCCTGCGCGCGCAGGAGACCTGCAGTGACGCAGCCGTGCGGCTGTCAGTCTCAGGCCCACCACACTGCACAATGAGAGGGAGGGACAGGCGTCGGGACGAATTTGTTACGGGAACCTGGTGCTGTGCCCGTTAAAGAGAGAAAACCTATTACATGCTTGGGTGGCATGACCAAGATGAAGGGAATAGATCAGCCTCAAAATTCAAGCTGCAACAAAAGCTCCTCTGATCAGATGGTCAGAAATATTCTCTCCAAGACTGTGTCTAAAGCAGCCCAACTTTCAAGCCGGAGGGGCTGCAGAGGTGCTCTGCAGACAGAGGCCTGGGAGGCTGTGACTAACAGACTCGAAGCTCGTCCAGTCTGGCTGGTCATTTCCACAGCACCACAGGCCTCCGGGCCTAAGCAGTGCCCTGCCTCCCTCCACCACCCAGTGCGGCCTGCCCCCCCCCCCCCCCCCCCCCCGCCCTAGTGCGGCCTGCCCCTCCCTCCACCACCACCCAGTGCGACCTGCCCCTCCCTCCACCACCACCCAGTGCGACCTGCCCCTCCCTCCACCACCACCCAGTGCGGCCTGCCCCTCCAGCACCACCGACGGGGCTTCTCCTCAATAATCCTCATCTACTCTGACAGCTACTGGCCTCCAAGCTCATCACCATGATCCTAGTTTGAGGAGGGCCTTATGCTCAGACCTATTCAGCATCTTCAGAGGTCAGAATTACACCTGTTAAAATGGAGTCCAGGTCAGTATCACCCTCTTCACAAAGAGATTCTCACCCAGTGGGGACAAGTAAATTCCACATAACCACTGCTGTTTCACTTTTGGTCTCTAATTTTATTTTCAATTTACGCTAATGGAGAGTGGGAGGTATTTTTGTTTTGTTTTGCTTTTCACACAAGGGGACAAGAGAAACTTCTGCTCAAGGGACACAGGTTCTTGATGGGGGAGGAGAGGCTCAAGGACCCTCTGAGAACCTAAGGAAAGCTATGGGATTTCTCCCCGGGAGAAAAGTGTGCAAATACAAACAAGTCTACACATTCAGGGGCTCAACACCCTCCCTCCCCAAGACCCTAGTGAAGAAGCCCCGTTCCCTGCAGGTGGCAGAAAGGACGAGCTGTTACCTTGAGCTGTCTGCTCTCTTCCCGCAGCCTCTGAAGCTCGCCTTGCAGCCTCTTACACTCATCCTTCACCCTCTTCACTTCAGTGTCGTCCAGAGAGCTTGCAGATTTAGACACCGTCGGTGTTTCTGTCTTTGATGCAGTTGTGGATATAATTTTATTTATTTCTACATCATGCTGTTCAGAAATAAATGAAAGCCCAAGTGTCACCAACTATGTGATAAATGACCTTTTTATGCAAAGTAAAGCAGCTCCCAGCAACACCACACGTGGCAGCGTTTCATCCACACTGTGAAATGTCATGTTTGTTTAAAAATGGATTGCTTCATCTAGCACCTTCATAGTGATGATCTAAAGCAACTGGGCCCCAGAAATTATGGAGAATGGCACACCTTGAAGTTCGGCTGAGGACTAACACTGGAGAGGAGGAAAGGGCTGTATGTACCGCACTTTTAGACCCCTGCCCTGCAAAACCAGCACATGGTGAGTGTGCAAGCGCAGGGACTATCGGCCACAGACCACTGACCCTGGGAAGACCCGCACACCCCAGGGCTGGCTGGGCAGGGTGGAAGGCCGACGGAGGACACGCGCGGGCGATTCGGTCATGAGCTTAGAACTCGGAAGCTGGGGTGAAGGTGGACCAAGGGCAGGGAGTGCAGTATTCAGTCTGGGGAAGGACAGATCTCCCCCCCCCCACCCTCACTGCCCCGTGTTAGGAATGTGTCAGGAGGAGCGGGGTGTGGAGGCTCAGGTGTGCTGGGATCACTGCCCTGGCGGGTTCCAAGCTCGGCCCTTTAGTTTCCGGGTGAGATGTGAGGCCCTGAAATCTAAAGCTGATGTAGCACAGAGCTAGGACCAGAACACAGGCCTCAGCACGTCCAAGACTGACCTTCCCAGGACATAATGTGCAATTCAAAGAAGTAGAACAATGCCAGTGTCCATGACTGTGCGGGAAGAACATACTAAGTACTTTGCAGGTCATCATGGGCGATGTTCACAGAAGGTCAGCTATTAACAGCCAAGGTAGCTGACTCTGCCTGTGCTTCACATTGTGTTTGTGATACAATTTAAGTTTTTCCGACTAGGCTGAAGGGAGTCCATATTAGCATTTCAGTCTTCTGCCTTCAACCAGTCACAAGTAAGGGCCATGCCAGGCCTATCCCTTGGTTATATACAAAGAGAAAAGTGAGCGGCAGCCTGGAGGAAGCCACTCCTTGGACTCACCCCTCAGACAGCACAGGAGAGTCTCAAGGGGGCAATCTCAGCAGACATCTTGGCTGTCACAACTAGAAGGTGCTACCAGTACTTGGTGGTCAGAGGCCAGGCGTCCTACGAGGAGCAGGACGTCCCCATAGCAGAGCACAGGGCCCAAATATTAACAGCCTGAGGCTGAGACCCTCCTCTAAAAGCAGGTGTGCAGGCCTTGGCCAGTTTGGCTCAGTGGTTAGAGCGTTGCCCTGCGGAACAATGAGTCACGGGTTCGATTCAGGTCAAGGGCACGTACCTCGGTTGTGGTTTGTCCCCTGGTCGGGGTGGTGTGGGAGGTAACCAAAGAGTGTCTCTCTCTCTCTCTCACGTCGATGTTTCTTCCCGCCCCCCCCCCCCCCGTATTTGAAAATAAATAAAAAAATACCCTCGGGTGAGGATTTTTTAAAAAGCAGGTGTGACAGCAGTGTGTGTGTGTGTGGGGGGGGTGGCGGGGGGGGGGGAGCTGGTGTTGAAGAAAAGAGCGGCCGGGGAGCCGCAGGCAGCACTGGTGAAACAGTGGACCTACACGCTCACCACCTGTCTGCCGCACCCCGTAGTAAATGGCAAATTACTGTGCTTTAGTCTCACCCCCGTCTCGTAGCGACCTCTAACTCTGCCAAGTCGAAGACGCGCTCTGGGACTTAGAACATTTCCACAGCGGACGGGGTGCGCGTTGCAAGGGGAAGAACTGTTTCAGTTACTATCTCTCTGTAAGTCCTTCAGAGGCTGATTCCATGAGGGCCCACTTATTTGTCGACTTCAGCTTATTTTTTTTCTTCATCAGAAAGAAGAAAATAATTTGCCAACTTAAATCTTGGTTTTGCAGGAGACGGTATGCAAATAAGTATCAGCTTGCAACATTAAATTATTGTTAACTATAAATATACTTACTGGTTTATCATTTTCTGCTGGCAATTCAAACACACATCTAAGTTTTGAATCCATAAGGTCTTCTGGTTTTGCCTCCTTCCACTAAAACAATTTAAATTTAATAATCAGGATATTATAAAGCTATTGGAAGAGTAATTTTCTTCCTATAACTGACAATTTTAGAAAAATACTCTTAATGAGAAAGCCCTGATTGTATATCAAATAAAGAATTTAAGTCTGCTGAGATTTCAATATTTTCAACATGACAAGATTAAATACAATAGCTTTTCTGAATATTTATTACACTTCACTAGTCCCAGTCTTGCTGCCTAACCCTCAAAGTCAGCCAATGCCCCCGCTGCCAGACGGCGGAGCACTCGGACAGCAGACCACGGCTGCTGTGCGGACGGCCGGGCGCCCCGGGCTCTCCGAGAGTCATGGCCCCCGGCTCCGGCAGGCCGAGCACACGTCTGAAGCCTCACTGCTGTGCGTGGGGTCAGGCAGGAGTGATGCGAGCTGGGCCGTCCTACTGGGTCCAACTGCCAGCTTTACCAATGCAGCATTTATTTTAAAATTAAATTAAATTTAAAAAAAAAAAGAGAGAATAACGCTCCTTTACAGGGTGCACCCTCTTTCGCAGAGTCAGTGCGCCCCACCTGGGCGTAGCTCTGGGACCGTGCTGCTGACTACCAAGAGAGCACCGAACCAGCAACCAGCCCGTCTCTGCCATGCACCCTCCCTCCGTCTGCTGGTGCGGGCTGCTGCTTCCAGGCTACCCCCTGTTCTGGGATGCTGCCTCTCGGTGTACTCCTCCTCCTCCCTCTGGAAGTGGGAGACAGGGATGCAGAGAGTTCTGGAAACCGCAGCCCAGCAGAGCAGAAGGCCACAAGAGGGAGAAGGAACCAACTACCACCCCTGCCCCGGGACCATGCAGGCGGCTGCTGGAGCAACACAGGTACCAAGAGCGAGTGGAAGGCAACAGTGTGTGAATGACGGGGGCTGACTGCCCAGTGAATCACAGCAGCCTGTCCAGTCAACAGCGCCGCTGACAGGCACTGAGGAGTATTTCATCACATGGGAAAGCTCACAGAAAACCAGCGAAGACACCACCAACGGTGTTGAGTCTGCTCCTGGGCACACACTGGGCAAGGACCATCAATGGACGCTAAGACCGCTGGGACAAGGACTGCTGGCAAGTCCAAGCACCCGAGTTACTGAGCGCATCGCAGATCCCTGCTATTAACCACAAAGGCAAATGGGCTTTGACACTGGAGAGTTGGCCGTTGCCATCGTAACCAAGTAATCAAAACTCATTGTCAACAAGAGGGACAGTCGGCATTAAATGCCTTCTGCTGATGCATACATGACACCACCTATGGGATATTCTTGCCACAAAACATTGGCCCTGAACTTAATCGTGAGGAAACCACTGGACAAATCCAGAATGTGGGACATTCTACAGCTGGCTTAGACTCTTAAAAAATACCAAATCCTGAAAATCAAAAAAGGTCCAGGCTCGAATAAAAGCTAAAGGCCATTTGGGAACAACGGGAATACACTGCGATACGGGCGTGTCCACCAGAAAACATGACCAATGCTGACGCCTCGGCTGTGGTAACAGCACGTGGCTGTGTCAGGCTGGCCTTGCTCTGAAGCATTTGAAGTCTGCATCTTACATGCAAGTGGTTCAGTGGAAAAGAAAGACGATGGCAGAAATGGAGCAAATGTGGCCACGTGTTAGACGGTCGATCGGGGTAGAGGTGGTATGAGTGTCACTGCGCCGCCTCCGCGGCTTTCTGTGCGTTAAGATAAAGGGAGTATTTCAAATAAAGAAGAAGCACAAGGCTTCTCTCATTAACAGTGGTTAGGTGAAGTATAAACAAATTACAGGCAACTTTTCATTTTTGTATTTCCAAACATCCTACAATGTACATTTTGTATAAACATTTTCTGAACTGTTACAAACCAGCACAGGAGGAGGGGAGACTCTCCCTGGCTGCAGAGCGCCAGGCCTGTGACCGCAGACACAACTGTGCCAGGCCCTGCCAGGTGCCTCACGCACAGCACCTTTAATCCCACAGAAGCCCAGTCAACCAGGTCTTTAGCGCCACGTTACAGGTGACCAAACCCTTAAGAGAGTTAATGCAAATCGCCAAGGCCACAATGTTAGTAAAAGGCAGACCTCAGCTTCACACCCAAGCCACCCAAGCCCATGCGCTCTTCAGTAAGCCATGCAGTGAAAGCAGACAGAAGGTATTCTCAAGATGTTCTGTATTTCGTGTTTGCCATACATTTCCTTGATCACCCAGATTAACACAAAATGACACACTGTGTTCTAGGAAAGAGAAGGGAAGTAGTGAAGACCTCAATAACTGTTCTTATGAAAGGAAGATGCCTCACTGTCACTGATCTCTCTCCAACCCCCGAAGAGTGGTTTATCCTTCATTTACTGCCCAAAAGTTAAACACCATGAAGATGATCAGATTACTTTTCCAAGACGAGAGAAAAGGCTACGTGGTGATCCCGGGACACAAGGTGGGTTGTGGATGAACAGCCTTAGCATCCGACTTTGAAAGAGAAAAGCCCACACGGCACGTAGGAGGCACAGCTAAGGCAAACGCGCAGGCACCCCTCGGATGACTGTCATCTCTTAGTTTAGGTTGGCAGGCTGTGAGGGGATGGAGATGCTGAGGCAACCTGCCTTTCTTCCCGAGACTGTAAGGACCAGACATCTATCTGTCCTGGCGGGTGCTATGGACGGCAGGACTGCTCGGCACCTTGTGACTCACACTCACAGCACCAGGCTGTCTCCTCATTTATTTGAATGTGTAACAAGCTTACTTTGGAATTAACATTATACTCTTTTTCCAGAAAAATCAGTAATATAGTATCACATTTATTTTATGATAATGAAGTAATCTTATTTTTACCAAAATTAGAGAGTTAAACATGCATTTAAGCGGGGGAAAAAATGAAGGAATCAAAAGAAGAAGAAAAAAAGAATCATGCTTATTAGAACCAAGCAGAAAGGAAACTCTTCAGGGCTGAGGACATTTAGCATTCACCTCTCTCACATCCCTCTGGGTTCCGGGGGGATGGCAGAGACATGGTGATGAATGGTGGCCTTTTCTGCGGGACACAGGTTGGGGGCAAGGGGAGAGAACCCGCAAACCATTCAAGACACAACCCATCAGAACAAGGAAGTGCTGAGGCAAACAGATGCAAAAGTAAAAAAATAACAGTATTCTAGAGAGTTACATAAAACCAAAGTTTTAGAAAAAAAGGTAGGCAAAGTATAAACCTCTCTGGAAACACCATTCCCCTTTAAAAACAATTTTGACACATTGTGAAACGCATGCACCCGCAATTCTGCACCTAATCATTAATCACTAACAAGTAAGAAGCATTCAGTACTTACTACTGCTTCCATATCAGAAGTGTCAGTTGGCGCAAACATAGACTGAACCATAAACTTGTGTTTACTTTTCTCATTGGGATCATAATCGAAAGGCTGTAACATCACTGAGAAAGAAAACATTTCATTAGGAGGGTCAGAGCTTGGTTACCAGCAGCCATTTGTTAATACTTGTATTTGGTTTAAAGCAATTTACCCGGATTCTCTCATCTGAGCCTCATGATGCCCGGGGAAGTGAGCAGGGCAAGATGACAGCATCTTCTCCACTTTCCAGCTCTCAAGCCTGAGGTCCGGAAAAGTCAGGTGACTTGCCCGAGGTCGGACAGCAGGAAGTGGCAGAGACAGGACCCAGGTCTTCTGAACCCTGGTCCACTGACCGCGCACCTGACACAATGTCTCCTATAGCCCTCACAGAACAGTAAACCAGGTAGAAATACCGCATGCCTGTTTTGCTCAAGAAAACACCCGAATAATCTAAGACGTGTTAAGGAACTGCGTTTGCTTCTCTGTGTCCTCTTTCCCACAGCAAGGTAATCAAGGTAATGCTTGAAATACAGTTTTGCCAATAAAATGTTATAAAATGTTCACGAGCAGCACACTCGCAGCATGGAGAAGCCGTCACCAGCTCACGCCCCTTTCTCCCGGAGGACCTAGAGGAATCTGACACAAAGGCTCCCTTGGAGTCATGCCCACTGCACTGGGGGGGTGCCCCCTGCTCTGACTGGCTTTCATAGGACCAACCCCTGTGAAATGACAGCTGCTTTAAAATACGGTATTTGCTGCCAGGCTTTCACTAAACCACTCATCTAGTTATGCCTCTGAAACAGCACTTTCACATGTGGGGAAGTCTACTGGGCTCCTGGCGGTGGCAAGCGCTAACGTGACGGAGCGTGTCCCACGTGTCAGAAACCAGGATCGGGACCTCGGGCCCACCGTTACCCACGCAGTCCTCAGGGGCAGGCACTGTTTCGGGGCTGCTTTGCCGTCCATTCCAGGCCGCAGAGCTGAAGCACAGAGAAGCAAGCAGGCGGTCTGCCTGGGGAGCCGACGCAGTGCCAGCAGGGCGAGCTCTGTCCCCCTCCTGCAGGGCTCCCACTTTTCTCTGGGCACTTCTCAGTGCTCTTTTGCCCTTGAACCCCATCTTAGGGCTTCCAGGTCCATTCTCTGAGGCCTCACAATCAACCACTCTGTGCAGCAGGACAAGGGGCAAGTGTCCTCAGACTGAGTTTACAAATGAAGACGCTGAAGCTCAACAAAGTGAACTGGCTGGCTCAAGGTCACAGGTTAGGAAGACAAAACGCCAACTGCAGCCCAGCACCCCTCTGCCACATAGGTCACTCCAATATGAACTATGTTCACATCCTGCACCCCGGGCCCACATACCTTATAGAGCCACATGATGGAGAAGAGAAACACAAAGATCCCCCATTCACCTTGGGGGTGCAGGGGTCCTTTCTATCTTGGGGACAGAGTCTATTCAAGTCTAGCAAGGCATCGATTTAAATACTTCAGTGCAGTCACCCAGGTGGCTCTGTTGCTCACATCCAATCTGAGAACTCTGACTGAGCTCCAGAGGACCTTCCTGGGAGACTCTTTAGGAAAAAATCAATAAATGTGCAACCTTTTTAAAGATTTGGGGCTTGTATACATGACACCAGGTCTAGCTACCAATAAAGATTACTAAAATAAGGGTGTTCAGCCCCAGTACCCAAGATCCGAAGTGTGCCCACCAGCAGAGAACAGAGGTCCTCTCAAGCACAGGGCCGGTGCGCTCGGAGTGGGTCCCCGCAGCTACAAAGGCACGGTTCTGCCCTGGAAGCGCAGTCCTTGCCGGCAGCTCTGGACCCGGCACCACTGAGCTGGCAAGAGCTCTCCCCGACTGACCTGGACACTGCGACACACTGGGCTTGACACTAACCCCACCAGCAAGTCAAAACCACGACCTCTTCTGAAAGCTACATTCCCATAGTGTGTCCCCCACCTCCCACCCCAGTGCTATGAGGAAGATGATACATGATAAACTAAGGACTCAATGTGATCTTTCTTGGACAGGAACTGTCAACCTCTTTTGCGGTTGGGTCACAGTCTTCAAACTACTGTCAGATTAATGTTCGTTATTTACAACGAAAGCAAATTGCGTTCTGAGCATTTCAGGTTTCACTTGGCTGTGACAAAACCATGCTCCAGTCTCTTTCTGGATGGGAAAGAAGCAAACTTTGTCCCACACTGCACCTCGAGTGTCAGCACGGCACAGCCCTCGCAGCAGAAACTGCCTCTTCCTCCGGACTGTCTTCCCAGCAGTCAAAGGCCTTCTTCTCCACCCTGGGGAGATGAGGCTGAACCAGGATTATCGGTAAAGAGCCCGAAGCCCAGAAGATGAGAGCAACAAGAAGAGAGTTAATTTTCAGAGAAGGTGGCTCTTTGGCTCAAACGACATTGGGTCATCCGCACAGAACAGACGGGTCCAGAGAACCTAGCCCTCCCTGCAGAAACAGCCCAGAAAGCGGTGCTGCTGGCTGTCGACCCCTCCCCCCTCCTCGAGGCAGGGCACGTGCCAGAGAACAGCCGAGAGGCCTCTGCTGGCTGCGTCAATGTCTCAAGGAGGAAAGTAAAGGAACCCTGACCAGCGCTGCTACGCACCAGGCCCCAAGGAGGGACCACCTCATCAGTTCTGCCCTTCAGAGCTCCTAACAATCCACCGAGGAGGAGGAGACAAATGCGCAGGAAGGCTACGTGGCCTCACCTGGGTCCCGTGGCAGCACACTGATGATAGAGCCAGTCAGCACCCTGCACTGGCTTTGCCTCCAGAGTCAGACTTCCAAGCCACAGGTTCTCAGAGCGTTCTCCACAGACCCTGAGGGTGCCCCTGTTAGGTGCCGCATTAAGTCAAAACTGTGGTAATGATAATACCAGGATGTTATGAGCCTATTCTACTGTGTTGACACTCAGTTGGCGCAAAAGCCCTGGGGCACAGTTGCCCGCACCCGAGCAGGAGGAGTCGGTGCCCTGCAGTGCTGGTGTCTTCGTACCAGGCTCTGTGACAAACCTGTGATTTTCTTTAAAAGGCCAGTCTCCCTGCAGCAAGCCCTTGATGAAGGGACAAAATCATCTCCTCCTGTCCCCATCGGACAGCACATGGTAACACTGGCCCAGAGAGCGCTGCTGCTGTCTGGCCGGGGAGCTGAGCCAGACCTGGCTCGCAGACCACCACGGACCCGAAAACGATGGCCCTTCAGACCGGTTATGTGGTAGATGCCTTCTCAAAAATGAATGAAATAAATCTATTCATTAAAAAAAAAACCAACTTATAGTAGTTGTGTCCAATGATAAAATCCAGACTTTCAGGCAAAAATTAGAATCTTGGAAAACGTATCTGTCACCAAGGACTTCACAGTTTCCCAAGTACTTAAACTTTTCAGATGAGATCAGTGGAAACAGCAACAAATGTGATTTTTTGATGTTATATAATGAAATATGCCAACATTTGGAAGACCTCCATAACTCAGCTAACATAATACTACAAAATCCAATCAAAGTGCAAGAGAGACCAATGCATTTTAGAGAAACAAAGTTCAGACAGTTCACTGACATGGTTTCAGATTCCACATTGCACTGAATTTCAAGGAAGTACCACTTGTCAAGTTCTGGTGTAGTATCAAAAAACACTGTCCAGCCCTGGCCAGTTTGGCTCAGCGGTTGGAGCGTCGGCCTGCGGTCCGGAGAGACCCGGGTTCGGTTCCCGATAAGGGCACGTACTTCGGTTGCGGTTTGTCCCCGGCCCTGGTTGGTCATGCGGGTGGCAGCCACTCGATGTGTCCCTTCACGTCGATGTTTCTCTCTCTCTCTCCCTTCCTCTCTCTCCCTCCCACTCTATCTGTACAAAGAATGGAAGAATCTCCTCGGGTGAGGAAAAAAAAAAACAAAACACTGTCCAGCTCTGGCCAGTTTGGCTCAGCAGTTAGAGTGTTGGCCTGCGGTCCAGAGAGACCCAGGTTTGGTTCCCGCTAAGGGCACGTACCTCAGTTGCAGTTTGTCCCTGGCCCTGGTTGGGTCATGTGGGAGGCAGCCACTTGATGTGCTTCTCTCACGTTGATGTTTCTCCCTCTCTCTCTCCTTCCTACTCTAGCTGAACAAAAAATGGAAAAATGTCCTCGGGTGAGGATTAAGAAAACAACAACATACTGTCCATAATTATCTGAAAAAGCTATTAAAATACTCTTCCATGGGAAGGTGGTTTCCTTCATGCGCATTCATCCAAACGACACATTACAAAAGACTGACTGCAAGAGCAGATAGGAGGATCCAGCCTGTCTTCCGCTGAGCCAGACATTCAAAAGATTTGCAAAACATGTTAAACAACACTAGTCTTCTCACTAAATATTTTGGATGTAAGTGATTTATTATTGTGACTATAAAATGAATGAATACTTTTTAAATTTCTGTTTAATTTGCAGTATGATAAATACTGATATAATCTACAAACAAAAATGTTCTTGGGTTTTCAATTTTTAAGGGTGTAAAGGGTCATGAAACTAAAAGTTTGAGCACATCACTCTGCACCAAGCTGCCTTGCAGGCGCTGCTGGAGGAGAATGGCCCGGGGCAGTGGGGAAGGCACTGGCAGCTTTGTCAGGCACCCTGCTTGGGTGAACAGCAGTTAAGACAGAAAGCAGTTTTGCATAAACCCCGCCTTGAGTTCGGTATGAATCGAGACTTGGTGGCATCAGAGGGTACCATGTCCCTTACAGGTAGGGGGAAGGATTCCCTGTACTCCTCTCACCAAACTACTCTGCAAATGCTTGTTCAACCTCTGCAGATGGCACAGTCTGAGATCCACTGCTGCCCGCAGACCCCCCAGGCGTCATCAGCACAACTCCAGGCCTAGTGCACCCTACCTACCCAGTCACCACAGTGCAGATCTAGACGACTTGTGAAAAGGCGTAACTTATGTTTAGACCTGCGAGTTAAACAAGAGTGTAAGCAAGCGGGTAATGGTGGTAACAATGATCCCCTTAAGGGAGCACTGCAGCAGCCAAGGTGGCGGCTCAGACACCCTTCTGCAGAGGCGGGCGCTCGTGCCTGTGAGCACGGTGCCAGCACACGGGAGG